TCACTGCCATACCAGTCATATTGTACCTATCACCACCACACCAGTCCCAATGTCCCTGATCACCACCACAGTTATTTTTTTTCCTAATCACCCATCATATTGTCCCAGATCACCACTACACCTGTCACAAGTCATATTGCCCCTGATCACCACCACACTAGTTACAGTGTCCCTGGTCACCACCACACCAGTCTCAGTGTCACTACACAAGTGTAAGCCAGCAACGTTGTCCCTGATTGTCACCACACCAGTTCCAGTGTCACCTGACCAGTATAAATCAGTGTCAGTGTTCCTGATTGCTGCCACTCTTATTCCCTGTGTCACCAGACTAGTGCAACCAGCACAATGTTTTTGATCACTGACACACCAATGCAGTGTTTTCTTCTGCTTGTCGCCTGTTATGAATCTGGCCTGTTTATTGACCACATTTCTGCCTGTTGCCTGGACAGATCATTTGCCTTATTGCTGACCATTACTCTATCTGCAGCCTGAACTGACCCATATGGATGTCCGAATGACTATGTTTCTGTGATAGACTAGTCCCAGCCATCCCCTGGGACTGCTATAGGTGACACTACACTAAGCTATATTCCTTGGTTATTACATTACATTGGTTTTTATACAATTGGTTGATTTGTGTGATGCACAAGATAAAATGTACAGTATAAAATCAGCCCAGACAATGAAAAAGTCTCACACTGTGGCATCGCCATACTCAGAAGTAACAGAATAGGTATCAGGAAATTAGATGCATAATTTATCCCCCTAGAATGCCTGAAGGTGCTCTAGTCTGCCTATATTTTGTATTAGAAATTTCTTGTTAATTGACAATTGTGTGTAAAAAATACATTTTCATTTTCTTTCCTGCATTTTTTAAAAACTTGTGACAAAAAATTACCCACTATGCCTTTCAGAAAATACCTTGGAGTGTTTGCTTTCCAAAATGGGGTCTTTCTTTTGTTGTTTCCACTGTCCTAGTGCTCCAAGGCCTCCAAAAATGTGATAGGTAGTGAGGAAATTAGATGCATAATTTATGCTCCTTGAAAGCTCAAACATGCTCCTTGGATTTCAGCCCCCTCTATGCATCTAGGCATCTAGGCTGTAAAAAAAATCTGAAACATGTGGTATCCCCATACTCAGGAGACATAGCAGAATGTTTTATGGGGTGTAATTATAAGTAAGCCTATGTTGTGTGTGAGAAAAATGACAACACTGTGAAAAAAATTATTTCAATTCATAAATTTCAAAAAAATTGTGACAAAAAAATTACAACTTCAAAAAAACTCACCACCCCTTACTAAATATCTTGGACTGTCTACTTTCCAAAAAGGGGGGGGTAATGTCCTGGAATTTAATTCCTCATGAAATGAGGCAGTTAGTACATCAGGACTGATCAATTTTAAAATATATATACCATAGTTTTTTAGATTCTGTAGCTGTCACACAGACTATATATTATACACTTATTTGGTTTATTTTTTACCTAAGAAATGTAGCAGAATACATTTTGGCCTAATGTTATGCAGAAAGATTATTATACAATTTTATAATGGAGACTGAGAAAATTAATTTTTTTCATATTTGTTGGTATTTGTTTACGCAAAAAAAAAAAAAAAACCCACTGTTGAATAAATACCACCTAAAGAAAGCTGTTTTTGTCTAAAAAAATTGTCATTCAAAATGTGACAGTGCTGAAACTTATAAATTGGCCTGAAATGCAAGAGGGTAGAAGCTGGTTAAGGATGTTGTGATGAAAAAAAGTGTATCTAATAGAAATGGTTATAGGATGTGGTCAAATAAAAAAAAGGGTGCAACACTACAATATACCAAGAGAGGCAATCATGTTATGTTAGCTATAAACTGTCTGATAATAGCATGTAATTCTCCTGATTCAAGCATGGATTGTGATAGTCAGGCTATTCCTTGGGCATTATACCAAATGTATCCACACACTCATTGAATAGAGACATTTTCAAATTTGTTAATAAACCTCAGTGTGTAGAAGGCTGGCTAGGCATCTTCATGGTTGATATTTGCATAATAAAAAAACAGTTTTTTGTGGATAGCAAAGCACTTTGAAGATAAACAGAGGATGTGAGCAGGCTCTATGAGATGTCCTTTCTATGGACCTGGGGCCACCTAAAATTTAAGAGGAGTGCGCAGGTTCATTTTAAGTTGCTGCTTTACAATCCTCACTCCTTCATAATAGCAATGATTTACCATTGAGATTGCATAAGTAGCAGGAAAAGCTTGACAAATGCCAGGTGAAATGAGAAAATAGAAAAACCAACTGAAAATGTTCAAAAAGTAACACAGCTAAACCTACCATAATAACTTATGAATATTTTAATTTTTGTCTTAGCCTGCAGAAGCTGTGTAATATTGAATCAATCATTTTCAATTCCATTGTGACACTACCTTTGCACTGCTAAAACAAAAAAGATAATAGAAAAAAAAGTTTTGATTTGAAATAAATAGTCTAGGTTGGTTTGACATAATTGGGCTTATTTAATAAGGCAGAACAAAGTTTAAAGTTAAAAAGCTAGTGTTATGCACATGCAATAGGTGTATGAAAATGCGCCAGAGCAAGGCTTTATACATAGTGGGCACCGGGGGCAGATTTACCATTTGGAAACTCGGGCACTACTCTTGGACCGGGGTCAGTAGGGGGCCCCATGAGATGCCCCTGGTACCTTTTTTATAGGCTTTTTTGAGCCTTGTTTGGGCAAGGACACAGGGGCCCCATGATCCCCTATTGCCCCGGAGGCCCCATGAGTTGTCAGTCCGCCCCTGGTGGGCACTGTTTATAATGAACCCCATCTCATGCACCTACAGTATACACATGAATAGCTAATAGAATGATAATAAGCACATCTTTGCAGTTTATGTTGCATATATTGATCATTTAAATTTTAATACTAGATACAATGTAAAAAAGAAACATATATAATGTGGTCAACACTATACAATTGATCGTAGGGTGACAGTAATAAGGAGTTATAAATTAACATGTTTCTCGAATGCTGTGCAAAATAATATACGGAATATCAAAATGTGCAGCAACTGGAAAAGATAAAGCTTACAGACCAGGCTCTAGAAATGAAGCCCCACGCTACAATGTTTTGACATTTTGTATACTCTAGTGTTTCACATACTTCATGAGAAACGTGTTAATCCATATCTTTTGAAGCACTTCTATGACTGTCAACATATGATCAATTGCACAGCCTTGGCTGCATTGGTTCTACATGACGCTCAGTAAATTTAATTAATCTTATGTAAAAAATGAATTCAAACAATATATGAAAGGCAAAGGTGTGGTTTTCATTATTCTTAATTACTATTCAGGCTCAAAACACAAAGATTTTGTAAAAGTATATTAGCTCATAACCAGAAATAACAGTCTAATGTAGAAACTATTAATTGTGATTGGTGGCTATAGATCTCTAGAAATAATTATTGATGTTGTTTATAATTAAACTGTATTTTTAGCAAGCATTTGTTTTACAGAATGGATTAAGGAGAGTGATGTTTTCCAGTCTCTGATTGGATTACTGCTTGTTCTTTGTTGTCTGTTCTAAAAGAAATATTCCTTATTAATGTTTCTTATTTTGATTGCTGATGCAGACACTACTGGTCAGGAATCGTATTCCAGAAATCAGCTTCCCTGCACAGATTAAAACTGGAAAACCTTTCTTTGAGTACATTCAAGGTTCTCATTTTTAACTGACTCCCAAAATGTGTTGGCTGTCTTTTAACACAACATCAATAAATGCCTGTTTTGAGCAGTCTAACTTGAGCCAGTGGGCTCTTCAAATGTTTTGTGCCCTCTCACTACCTTGTTTAAACTCATATCAAAGTCCCAGCACCTCTTAGATGCCCTTTTTTTCATTGGAGTCCCCAAATAATATGGCTGAAATCATATTAGATGCTTTGGGAAATTATTGAACATAAAGTCAAATCACATTTTATTAACAGTGAGGACAAAGTATACATTTTTCTACATATGAAACTTAATTTTATGTATACACACTGTAATAATGAATACCAAACCAAGAAATGTAATTAGATGTCAATTGGGATTAGGGGACTGAAAGGAGTACAAAATGCTCCAGCTTTTTTAAAAACATGATCCATTAATTCACTTGCTGCTGTCAGAATGCAGCCGAGACCCAGTTTATGTTTATCGATAGTCCAAAGTAGAGCATTAGCATTTTTTGTTTGAGTTTCTTGATAGAATAATATGGGATTCAGGCAAGCTAAGCTGTCAGAAAACAAATGCAGCTAATGTTCATTTCTGTGCAGCTAATGCTCGTTCCCATGCAGCTAATGCTCGTGAACATGTACCAGCACATAGACGAGCTCGGGCTAATATCCTGCTCGCACTGACACATAGGCAAATCTGTGTGAGCCAGCACACAATGGCACACATGTCCATGCACAGAGGTGCCAAGCTTCCTATTTAAAGGAAACCCTGGTGTGTGCTTGTCACTGGATGTTCTTCAACTCCCCATGATCTGTGTTCTTGTGTTCCTGTTCATGATGACTGGTTTTCCATTGTTGACCCGACTTATGCCTGGCCTTGTCCTCTGAATTTTGGAAACTGACCTCAGCTTGCCTCTGACTACTTTCTGCCTGCTTCACTGGTGCTGACCTAGGCCTGCTACTGGGCCTCATTCTGCCTTCTTCCCTGGTATTGACCTTGGTCTGCTACCTGACCACACTTCTGCCTCATTGTTTATGACCCTGGCTTATCCTAACCACATTTCTGACCCTGATAGTCACTTACTATCAAGCTACTGGCAACCGTGCTTCTTTGATTCTTTGAGCTTTGCACCTCTGTCACCACATTCAGGGGTGCTCGGACCAGATCCACAAGAAACGTTCTCTTGTCAATATGGCCTCCAACCAAAGTTCATGACAAAAGCCATCCAATGATAGAGAGTGAAGTCTGGAAGACCAGTTCTACTATGTTCTTCATGACATGTCAGGTGACTGGTATCCCATACATACACTATATTGCCAAATGTATTGGGATGTCTGTCTTTACATGTACATTACCTTTAATGGCATCCCAGGGTTCAATATTGAGTTGGCCCACTCTTTGCAGCTATAACAGCTTCAACTTTTCTGGTAAGGCTGTCCACAAGGTTTAGGAGTGTGTCTATGGGAATGTTTGACCATTCTTCCAGAAGCACATTTGTGAGGTCAGGCACTGATGTCGGACAAGCAGGGCTGGCTTGCAGTCTTTGCTCTAATTCATTCCAAAGGTGTTCTATCAGATTGAGGTGCAGGCCAGTCAAGTTCAAGCTGGGATCATGAAATTGTCCAAATTGTCTTGATATGCTGATGCCTTAAGAGTTCCCTTCATTGGAACTAAGGGGCTGAGCTCAACCCCTGAAACACAACCCCACATAATATCCCCCCCTCCACCAAACTTTTCACTTGCCACAATGCAATCAGGCAAGTACCGTTCTCCTGGCAACTGCCAAACCCAAAACACATCCATCGGATTGCCAGACAGAGAAGCATAATTCATCACTCCAGAGAACACGTTTCCACTGCTCTAGAGTCCAGTGGTGATATGCTTTACACCACTGCATCTGATGCTTTGCATTGCACTTGGTGATGTAAGGCTTGGATACAGCTGCTCAGCCATGGAAACCCATTCCATTAAGCTCTCTATGCACTGTTGTCATGCTAATCTGAAGGCCACATGAAGGAGGCGACTTCTGCACACTATGAGCTTCAGCATGAGCTGTTCCTGCTCTGTCATTTTATGTGGCCTGCCAGTTCGTGGCTGAGTTGCTGTTGATCCCAGTTACTTCCACTGTGTTATAATGTCACTAACAGTTGACCGTGGAATATTTAGTAGCAAGGAAATTTCACAGATTAACTTAACAGGTGGCAACTCACTGAGCTCCTGAGAGTAGTCTGCATGCCTAGGTGCTTGATTTTATACACATCTCACCATGGAGGTGATTGGAACACCTGAATCCAATGATTTGGAGGGGTGTCCCAATACTTTTGGCAATATAGTGTATTTATTAGTTATGTGCTTTAATTTCTGAAGGAAGGCACTGAAGAGGAGAATAGGTATGGTTTGAAACTTACGTAAAGCTAGTTGCCCATCTGACATGTTGACAGTGGCTGTAATACATACTGAGGCACTGATCGTGAACAAGTTTGTAGATCAGACGTTTACACTTCACTTTTACTTTCTGATCATGCTTTCCCAGGTCAGTGACGCAAAGTGCTTATAGAATATGTAAACTCAATATATGTAAGTAGTAGTAATAATAATTCTATATATGACAGCTTCCTATTGTCACTGATTCCTAAGGAGGAGGCGGTTGCCTCCATGCACCTGATCCCTAGGAACCAATGAATTCACCAGGAATTTCAGCAACTTAAAAATAAGGTATATATTTCATATTCCTGACATGTGCCTGCTATACCATTTACTTGTACGTAAAAGTATCCTGTTATCTTTGTATTGCTTCCTTTGTGCAAAATTCCTAGTGTTCCTGCTAGTCCCTCTGCTCTCCAATTAAAAACTATTTAAACTGACCACACTAGGCATGAGAACACAGCCTGGTCAGTTCTCTAGCTGTGCTGGGAACTCAGCCTGTTGTCTTCCAATGATCAGACTTCTCCTGACACGTCCCCCCCACAACCTTTCACTGGGAAAACCCGTTTGCTGATGTTTCTACTCCCCTAGCTCTTATGCACCTGAGAACACAGGGTATGTAGTCACTTGTAAAAAAAAAGTAGAGAAAAAGGTGTATAAAATGTATTTTATATCTATGCACAAATGTTTTGCCTTTCATTTCTATTTTAAACTGAATGGATTGTTCTAGAAGGTGAGGGTTTACAAGCTGGAGACAAAAAGGAAACTAGTAGCCCCACTTATTTTACACAGTACAGGACTTTTTTTTTGGATAGAATGGGAAAGTATTAAAACCACTGTTTGCTCTCTCAACTTGTCTTGGTGACCATTGGCATAGGACAGAAAGTGATGGAAAATTCAACTGGATAATTATGTGTGGATCCTTGGGAGGCCCAGGGACTATACAATGGGCTAGCAAATGGAACTTTCTTCTCTCTATCCCTGGCAGCACATACATCAAGACAGCGGTGAGTTTTAATTGATGTACTACACTAGAAGTGGTAGGTGACACAAATTGGAGTGGCTTTTTAGAACTTAATGACATTATAGCATATCCAGTTAGTAATATCTAGTATGGTATTGAGTATTTTTTCTTTCATTTTTTTCTTTTCTGTTCTTTGTGTCTGTTCTTTGTGTCTTGCTTGATTTTTAAACTGTATATGAGGAACATATGTCATATGCTGGTTTTTGCCTTCCCATGTCATTATTTCATCTTTAGTTCACTGGATGCACTTTTTCACTGGATGCACTTTTTCCACTCCTATGTCGAGTAGAGGTGTATTTTGATACAACTGGTTCGAAACATTACCCACCTTTTGATTTGAGACATATTTGATTTGGAATGAGTATAATGGGTATATGGAAATGTAATTAACATATATTCAACATGAGAGGTGGGCTACCTGTTGGAATGATCTTACCCCCACTCATCTATGACTTTTTCAGGTTTATCTACTACATATACAGGTGAAACTCGAAAAATTGAATATCATGCAAAAGTTCATTTATTTCAGTAATGCAACTTAAAAGGTGAAACTAATATATGAGGTAGACTCATTACATGCAAAGCAAGATAGTTCAAGCTGTGATTTGTCATAATTGTGATGATTATGGCTTACAGCTCATGAAAACCCCAAATCCACAATCTCAGAAAATTAGAATATTGTGAAAAGGTGCTATATTCTAGGCTCAAAGTGTCCCACTCTAATCAGCTAATTAAGCCATAACAGCTGCAAAGGGTTCCTGAGCCTTTAAATGGTCTCTGAGTCTGGTTCAGTAGGAATCACAATCATGGGAAAGACTGCTGACCTGACAGTTGTGCAGAAAACCATCATTGACACCCTCCATAAGGAGGGAAAGCCTCAAAAGGTAATTGCAAAAGAAGCTGGATGTTCCCAAAGTGCTGTATCAAAGCACATTAATAGAAAGTTATGTAGAAGGGAAAAGTGTGGAAGAAAAAGGTGCACAAGCAGCAGGGAAGACCGCAGCCTAGAGAGAATTGTCATGAAAAGGCCATTCAAAAGTGTTGGGGACTTTCACAAGGAGTGGACTGAGGCTGGAGTCAGTGCATCAAGAGCCACCACACACAGACGGATCCTGGACATGGGCTTCAAATGTCGTATTCCTCTTGTCAAGCCGCTCCTGAACAACAAACAACATCAGAAGCATCTTACCTAGGCTAAAGAAAAATAGACCTGGCCTGTTGCTCAGTGGTCCAAAGTCCTCTTTTCTGATGAGAGCAACTTTTGCATCTCATTTGGAAACCAAGGACCTAGAGTATGGAGGAAGAATTGAGAGGCACACAATGCAAGATGCTTAAAGTCCAGTGTGAAGTTTCCACAGTCTGTGTTGATTTGGGGAGCCATGTCATCTGCTGGTGTTGGTCCACTGTGCTTCATTAAGTCCAGAGTCAACGCAGCCGTCTACCAGGAGATTTTGGAGCACATCATGCTTCCTTCCGCAGACAAGCTTTATGGGGATGCTGACTTCATTTTCCAGCAGGACTTGGCACCTGCCCACACTGCCAAAAGCACCAAAACCTGGTTCATGACCATGGGATTACTGTGCTTGATTGGCCAGCAAACTCACCTGACCTGAACCCCATAGAGAATCTATGGGGCATTGCCAAGAGAAAGATGAGAGACATGAGACCAAAAAATGCAGAAGAGCTGAAGGCCGCTATTGAAGCATCCTGGTCTTCCATAACACCTCAGCAGTGCCACAGGCTGATAGCTTCCATGCCATGCCACATTGAGGTAGTAATTGCTTCAAAAGGGGCCCAAACCAAAGTACTGAATACATATGCATGCTTATACTTTTCAGAGGTCCGATATTGTTCTATGTACAATCCTTGTTTTATTGATTGCATGCAATAATCTAATTTTCTGAGATTGTGGATTTGGGGTTTTCATGAGCTGTAAGCCATAATCATCACAATTATGACAAATCATGGCTTGAACTATCTTGCTTTGCATGTAATGAGTCTATCTCATATATTAGTTTCACCTTTTAAGTTGCATTACTGAAATAAATGAACTTTTGCACGATATTCAAATTTTTCGAGTTTCACCTATATGTTTGGCTCTAGAGAATTGGTGAGATTGTGCCCATCTTTGCCGGTCAGTGGTCTCTGTTGTATGCCTCTCCACAGTCTAAATGGAAGAGACTACATTCTGTGTATCACTCCTTTTTTTTGGTTTTGTAAGTGATTTTGAATTACTTAATTTATTTTTCTTCTTTTCCTTTTTCTGTTATAATATTCATCAATTTTTTCTTCCTATAGGCCAGCTAATATATTGATTGTTTATTGTGTATTATATTACCTATGGATGTATATGTACAGTATATTATATGTATGTTTTCTATTTGTAGAGATGTTATGAATATCTGCCACACTTGAGTTTACCAATCTGAAGAAACGGTTGCTACCACGTAACGTGTAATCATCACAAACAACAAATGTAACTATACTTTGACCAGTTTATTCTTTCTATTAAATGAGCTGTGTTTTTAAAGTATGTTCAATGATAAAAATTGTTGTGATTTTTTTTATTGAATAACGTTTGTAGAGTTGATTTTTCCATATACATATACCAGTGGGTCACCCTTGAATACCCTTCTTTTTGTGATTTTTTTAAATTTTGACTTTTGGGGTGGTGACCCCCCGATATAAGTATATATGCCACATGTCACTGTTGTATGTACAGCCTCACCTTTTTTTGTTCTATAGTAATTTTCATTCTTCTCTGTGTTTCATCTATGTAGAGGCCCATGACCCTCTGTCTGGACAGCACTAGTTGGCACTGTACCAATCACATGCACCCTCTACTAAGCCTGTGTCCGCATGATTTTATGGGATATGATATCTC